AAGTTCATGCATTTTTACCACTTTTCCCCACCTCTTTGGTGGCGGTGCTGCAGCTGCTACTGTCGCTACCGCTGTGGTCTTCCCAACAGCATGACGCGCAGATTCAAATGAAATTTAATGTTGCTCTCTGTCCATTTAAAGTCCAGGGACAATGCCTGGTCCTTTTGCAAAATGACATCTTAAAGAACGCAGAGCGTTATTCACAGTTTGTTTTTTGCTTTTGTTGTTGAAACACGAGTTCCGACCTCTTTGAGGCAGAGTCCCAAGGGCACTGTTATTTGGGAGTTCGGGTTATTTGGTTACACCAAACTTAAATGAAGTGCGATGGGCTGCTGGAGCGTTGGTGTGTTTGTTATTCCTGTTTAAGGAAATCAATCGCTAAAACTTTTCTCCGGGCCGTAATTAAAGTTTTCAACTTTTTCCTTTTTGGCTTTTTATACTCTTTCACTTATTCTTCGTTTCAGTAAAAGTTCTCATTCCCTGTGTTTTTGAGGTAAAAACATTTATATTTGTACTTTATACAGTACCTATAAAGCCCTTCCTGAAAGAAGTTAGAGACCTTAAGATGAAGTCATGTAGATCTGAATTGTCCTCCCGGCTGGTGTAAGGAGACTTTCAAGGCGAGAATACGAGGTTTTAACAGTCGTTATGATTTTTGCGTGGGTGCTTTAAATATTAACTTCTCGAGCAGAATTTATTGCGTTGCCCTTCCCAAGTTCAGGGGGACCTCTCTCCAGGAACCGAGCGCGCCTTTCCTTTGCCGGTTCGCGCCTCTTCTCTGGAGGTGCGAGGCCAAACTTAGCAAAGGCGAGTTGCCTTTGCCGGTTGTCGTGCGCAGGGACACCCGGACAGCACGGAGGCAGCAATAGCTGCGAGCAGGTAAGTCTGCTCCCACCGGCTCGCCCCTCCTTCCCTCCCTGGTTCCCTGTGCTAGGCGCCCGGGGTTCTTGCGCCGCGCGGGGCTCCGAGCCCCAGGGAAAGTGAGCCCTAGTGTGCCGGGATCTGGCAACGGTGCCTGGGTGTCCTCTGCTCCTTTCGGGACTTCCTGGAGCCCGAAGGCCAGGACAGACCAGGTGGAGAGCCCGGCGCTTCAACACGCTGCAGCGCTCTCTGCCTTGCCCTCTGCTCTGTACTGCGGCGCCTGAGGCTTGAAAGGAAACCCTTAGGGCTCACCCCCGCCCCCAAGGGCCACGTGTCAACCCAGGCATAGCCTGAAGTGCGGCACCGAGACCCCAAACTTTAGTTTCTTTCCTTTAGGGATTAATGTTGTGATTGGCTCGGGGTTCCGCCTTATCAATCTACTTTCGTGTCAGTTTACTAGACAAAATCTAAAGAGGATTCCTGCCGCTCCTTCTCCGAAGGTCCATCGCGGCCCAGTATGAGGGCCTTGGACGCTGGAGATCTTGATAATGTCAATTTTTTTTTTTTTTTTTTTTTTGCCTTCCGCCAGCGGCCTGCACCTGGTCGGCGGGGTCAGTCTTAACCCCCAGGTTTCCGAGTGCTGGGTGATTTAAAGAGACGGATGTGCTGGTACTTGCAAAGCCAAACTTACTGCAGCAACTTTGAGGAACCCAAGTTGCGCCCCAGCGTTTCCGTCCTGGATGTTTCACCTCCCTCGGTGGCTCTACCCTGAGGATTCAAGCTTTGGGACTTAAATTACCCCCTCTTCTCTCTGCCCTAACTCTGCAGGCATTTAGGACAGCTCATTCGATTTTGACCTCTTTAGGCTTTTGAGAGATTTTTTGCCCCCTGTGGTTGAGTTCCAGGGCCAGTGAGAGGCTCTGGAACAGAGCGTGGGGCCAGGTCATACTCATTCACAAAAACAAAATTAAATAAAAACAAAATCAAAACCCAGAAAAGATTTGACCCTTCTCTAGGATAGAAACACGGGTCTGGATTTGCCTGTTGGGCCTCTGAGGTCAAGGGGCACTCCTGGGAGTTCTGGGAGCCAGGTCTGAAGGAGCTGGCAGGAAAAGTGCCAGGCATTCTTTTCACTGGACTCTAGGTTCTGGCCTCTCAAGGCAGGTTTTCCAGTCCTAAAAGTCTCTGTGGGTGAAAGGGACACAAGATTGCTGGTTAGGGACTAGCTCTCCTCTCAGCCAACAGTCATCAAATCATTTTAACTTGTAGTCTTCAAGCTTCCAATCCTCAAGCATCATCTTTCCTATTGGGATAGAAGCACAGGGCTGTTCCTTCTGCCCCACTAATCCAAGATGCTCATCCTCACCCTTACTTCTATCCTTTTCCTTCTCTTGTCTGGAGTTCATATGAAACCAAACATGGAGTATACTTTAAGAAGCCAATATATGACTAACAGACATCTCAGCTTGTTCCATATTCTGTGCTTGCTTACTCTCTCCATTTTCTTCAAAGTTAGTGGAACAAAGATGAGGCTTTCTCCCCTGTATCTTTTATCACTTAATCTGTGGGAGGTCTTCCTTGAATTGGCAACTTTAGATTGCCATTAATTTTCTGATTTTTCTAGCCATAATTCCTGACTCCTTTCTCCTGGTCCATATCTTCTTTCACAGATTCCCTGTTTATGAAATGCCTCAACGTGGCCATCTCATATCAGTTTCTACATAGCAAGGACCTCACCTCCACAGACCTCTGCAGGTTTATGCTGATCATGTCAGAATCTCTCTCCTAACCTTTAATCTTGATGTAATTTGGACTCTCCACTGACCTCAGTTGCTCAAATCTATTTCTTTGGGCCTGGTTTATGGCAGGCTAATCTCACCTCGTGCACATTGGCCGCTAGTTAGCTCTGTGTCTGCTGTTGTCAAAGCTAGTGTTCTCATCTGACTCTTTTACTCTGCATCTCTATCTACTACCTGACATCACGATTATTCTCTCCCCTCCCAGTCCCCCAGGTTTTTTGCACTGAGATAAAGTTCCAGGTCTCTGATCCTTTAGGCCACTCTATACCCTTCAAATCTTTTATCTACCCTACACATGCATCAAAGAGAATTTTTAATTTGTGTAGGTTTTTTTGGGGGGGGTTAAACATAATTTTCTATATCTGACTTACATGTTTTTGCAAAATGCTATCCTGGGTGACTGAAACTCTTTTCATCTTCTACAACTTCTCAGCCACCCATCTTGAAATTGTTTCTCCAAATCTTTTCCTCTACAAAGGTGAGGTAATACACATATATCACCCACCCAATTCTGTGTAACACAAACTTATCCATATAATAAACGTGGAACTATTTAATTTGTTGTTGTAAAGGTATAATCATTTTTTCTTTGGTAGTTTGTACATACCTTGTTATTCATAATAATTTTAACCCATAAACTCCATAATCTACATGGCCTCCAGAATATTGCCACCTACATATGTTAAGATGTATATCATCTTAATAACTCCTGTATCAGTTTCTTTTTCTTTCAGTTGCTCCTCCTCCATCTTTTAAAATAAGTTCCTCTTCCCCTATTTACTGAGATCCTATTAACCCATGTGTTTTCATTATCTCAGTTTCCTGCTTCTCTTTCTTTACTCTCTTTACTTCTCTTTTTCTTCATCCTTCTTATTATTCACCCTAACATTCACCCTTCTTTCCTTCTTCTTGGTCTGCTGCAGCCCCTGTTCTTCCCCTTCTCTGTATCTGCCATGACTCACTTCTGTGGTCCAGTTCTGTATCTCAGTACTTCTTAACATTCAGCCCATTCATCCTCTGTCACATAACTTTTTCAACGCACAGACTACCATCCCTACATTTCCTCTCCCACTTTCTTTCCTCCTTTTCTCCAGTTCGCTCCTTTCTTTCTCCCCAGTTGTCTACCTTTTCCCCACTTTGGTTTGCCTTCTTCTAGACTCCTCCATCCAACAGCCCCAGCACTCCTTGGGTCCTTTATTCCTCAGCCTATTTCTCTCCACCTAATACTTGTCACCATTCCCCTCTGACCTCAACTCTCCCTTTTCTTTGTCGTCTTCCATTTCTCTCCTACTAGTCGCTTCACTCTCTCTTCTCAGACGCTTTCTCCAATTCCAACCTCCGCTCTTGCCGGTCTCTGCCCTCTCTCTCTCCGGCTCTCTCTCCTTTGCCTCCCGCTCTCCCCTCCTTCTTCTTCCCCCGGCCCTCCCCCCTCCCTCCCAGCTTCCCTGCCTGGCTCGCTGCCTCCCTCGCCTCTTGTCTCATCTTGCCTGTGTTGTCTGGGAGGGGAGCCCTGCCTCCTCTCCTTCGCTCAGATCAATGCCCTGGCCACTCACTTTCTGATGTTGCACGACGGGAAATGCTTTGAATACTTACGACATGGCCGCTCACACTGATTGCCAAGATTGACAGCACTAACCATCGCCTTCACTTGTTTCAAGGGGGAAGCCCCTAGTCACCCCGCTCTGTGCGCACCTCCCGGCACCCCGGCGGCAAACTTCTGCCGGTCAGTGTTCCCCCCGCCCGGGGCGGGACACCCCTGCCGACTTGAGTTAACGGGCTGCGCCGGCCGCGGCGCTGGGGGGCTTTGCTCTCTTGCTCCCCGGGCTGTGCTAATTGACCCAGCAACGACTCCCCTTCCTTAATTTTTTAAATTTGTATCTTTCCCTTTTTTCTTTAATGCCATTTACTCCCGCGGCGCAGCGCACAAGGAACCCTCCCGTGCGGTACCATCCTGGAGCCCGCCCAGGTAACCGGGACGGAGCGAGCGATCTAGAGAGCGAGGGAGGCAGAGCGAGAGCGCGCGGCCCATTTGTGAGCTACCTGTTGGGGAGCAGGAGAGGGCAGGGGCAGGAACCCCTGGCCTGGTCGCCGGCCCCTAGCGCCTTCCGCTCCTGCCCTTCCGGGCAGCTTCAGGGTTAGTTTCATCGAGCCGGGACTGAGGGATTGGGGTAGTACAAGAACTGAGCGCGCGGAGCCCGGCGAGGGCGCGGGTTGCCGGGAGCCACGGCTGCCCAGCCGGGGCGGGTTTCCGTACTTGGCTGGGGAGGGGAGAGGGGGGAGGAGGAGCGGGAGGAGGGCGCTGAGTGGGGCCGACGCAGAAAGTGGGGGGGGGGAGAGTAGAGACTGAGAAAGGGGCCCGAGCGTCAGCCGCTCGCTGGTGGACGCGCGTATCCCCAGGATGCGTCCCCCTCTCGGAGAGTTGTGCCTTGTTCCGGAGGCGGTGACAGATCTGCGTGGCGGGTTTCTGGTTTTCTTGCCACCCCCTTGTCCCCAAAATCCACTCGGAGAAAACACATGTTGTAGCCGTAGATAACTGTGCGTGGGACCCTAAGGCAAAAAAGGCAGGAGAGAAAGACAACGCAACCTTTGACAACAGAAAGCTGTTATCGCCATCCTAAGTATTCGTCCGGAAATCTGTCCGCCCTCTCAGCCCACCTTATTCCTCCTCCTCCGTCTCCCCGTATAGATATTCTAATCTATGTAACTGGGAATGATATGAAAAAGAAGTCAGGTGGCTTAGAGAATGAATTCTCAAGTCTCCGTGAAGTTTGAGGTAGGTATTTCATTGAAGTTTGAGCCAAGTGTGTGATGGAGGAAGCTCGTATGCCTGCGTGTGTAGTGTTCTCTCTCTCTCTTTTCTCTCTCTCTCTCTCTCTCTCTCTCTCTCTCTCTCTCGTGTAAGTATATGCGTGTGTGCTCTGTGAGGGCTCAGATGGGACCGCTGGGTGGAAAGGCCCTTTGTGCCCACAAGAGGGCAGCATCCTGAGGGCTTTGTGAGCGCTGTATCTCTCGTTATCGCTGCAGGCTTGGGTCTGGAGAAAGTTATACCGAAACTTTCAAACTGATATCACATCTTATTTCGTGATATTAAAAAAGAAAGACGAAAAGAAAGAAAGAAGGAAAAAACAGAGAAGTGACGAAAGAAGAGAGAGAAAAAAGAAAAGCAGGCAGCCAGCCTACCCGGGGAGAGTCCTAGTCACATCAAGACTAGGGGGAGGGCTGTTTTAATTGTGGGTTTGGCCGACTGACGACTGGAGTGCCCTCCTCGGCTGTCTTAGTTGTAGCCGGAGGTCATGTAAATCGACCTTAAAAGAATGCATAAGCCATAAATTAAAATAAACCCTCACCCAAGGGCTGATCCATAAGTAGACAATATCCAACCTGGACAAAACGAGCTTCCCTTACGAGCCGACCTAAACCGCATACCCCCAAAGAATAGAGACTAAATGCAAAGTAAGTTTCCCAGCGAATATTTTGTTTTCTTGAAAAGTGTTGGGTTGATTCGCCGTGTGACTGACTGCGATGCCGCAGTTTTCCGGAGTGCTTCTGTGTTAGCCAGGCTCGGGGTGCGGGAGATCGGGAGGACCTGCTGGGTTTCTGGGCTTCCTAACGCTACCCCCACCCCACCCCCATTTTGGTTTGGAAACTTTGGCTATTTGTGGGGTTGACGCTGGCCGAGGGCGGGCAAGAGTCGAGGATCTCCGCCGCACTCTCTGCCCGGGTGAAGTTTACCGGGAGGAGCTCATAAAGAAAACCCGGGTAGCTAGAAAAGCCGTATGCTCCCTCCTCCCACCCTCACCCCAACACCGCTCCGCCGCAACTTTCCCGGGACCCTGCGCAAGTTGCCTCCAGTTCCCTGCGCTCTCTCCTTTCTTCCCGCCCCCCCCCCTCATTTTTGGACGTGACTTTTTATGATCTTTTTAGGAATAAGCAAACCGAACTCCAAGACAATCCGAAACCCGAGCGCTAATCCGTGGCCCTCTTTCCCCGGACTCTCGGGCGGTGGTGCCGGGCCGGCGGGTGTGTGTGTGAGGGCCCGCCCAGCCCTTCCCGGAGCGGGCTCGGCCTCGGAGTCCTCGCGGCAGACGCACAGCCGCCCGCACGTTTCTTCCGCTCTCCGCGTCCCTGAGCCCTGCCGGCGGCCCCAGTCTCTCTCGGCGCCCTGCCGGGGCCCTGCCGCCAGTTGTCCTCCCCGCAGACCAGCAGAGATCCGCCGCTCTGGGGCTCGGCCCAGGCCCAGGGGCGGTGCTGCCACCCGCCCGGGGCCCAGCCCGAGCTTGACGGCTCCCAGAGGGAGCTGCTTTTTTCTCCCTTAAAGGGCCGGTCAGAAAAGGGAAGGGGCTTGTGCAAAGGTTGCCGGGGTTGCTCGGGCACCAAGAAAGGGGCTGCGGAGGACAGATTAGCTCCGTTTCCCGGGCGCTCCGCGGAGCTTTAAGATAAAAAGAGAATCGGTGTGTTTGGAACAGATAAAAGGTAGTTGTTGCTGGCGTGTTTTGAGTTTTTTTTTTTTTAATTTTTTTAAAGCTCTCTTAGGCTGACCAAGTTTGAAAACGTTTGATTGTATGAATGGCCAGATACCAGATATTGAATGCTGCCTCTATTTGGGGACTAAAAATAAGTCTTCGACTTTGCTGGCGGGGCTGGGATGTTAGAGAGATGGGCTGTCCCCGGCTCCTTCTGTGTGTGTGACCTCCTCTGAGGGCCAAGCTTGAAGTTTCGGTCTCGAGATGGCCCACAGCCGTTGCTGCGGCAAACTGGCCTGGGCTCCGGACCTCCCGTCGCACTGTCAATGGGGCGCTCGATGACGTCCATGTCCGGGGCGCTTGACCCCGGCGCGCACTCTTGCGGCTGGGCTTTTGGCCCTGGCCGGGCGGCCCAGCCAACAACCCAGCGGAGTCGGGATGTGAGAGTGCCCCCTCTCCCTGCCTCCCTAGGGTCTCCTCCCTTCTGCCCTGTTTAGTCACATGCCCAGGTTTCTCCCCGGGTCCCGAGGAGAACAGACACAGCCCCGCCCAGTCTATTTCTAGGAGGTGGGTTTGGTGAATTAAAAAGGTCAAGTGGTCGGGTCCGAGAGCTGATCCATGGCGAGGGGGGACAGGATGGACACCTGGCAAGGACCGCCCCGCCTGTCCCCCCCCCCATCGTCCGCCCGCTCACGACTAGCCTCCCCAGGCCACATTCTTGCGCTAAGTGCTTGAGTCTGTGGGAAAAGCAATCCTGAACCGGCCAAGAGCCGGCGAAGCTGATCCCACGATGGCATTTTGTTTTGAACAGTTGCTGGGGTTGACGTTTCCTCATAAGGTAAGGTGTCACTGGACAGTCGGCTGCCCAAATGTCACATGTATAATTAGCCTGCGCACTCAGCACCTCGTCCCGGAGGCCCATAGGCACGGGCTTGGCGGACCTGGTCCACTCAGCACCGTTCCAGGCTACAGGATTCCTGAGGGAGGGCCGAACCAGCCAGGACAGCCTTTGGGAGGCCCTGGCAAGAAGGAAGACTGTGACAATGTAGCCTTGTCTTTGATTTTTCTCTCGTTTTTTCCCCTTCTCTTCCTGTTTGTCCTCTCTTTATTTTTCGGTTGAGGGCGGACTACTGGTTAGATGGGCAAACCGAACACCAGAGGCAGGGTGCAGACTGAATGAGGAAAGGGGATGCAGAGTAAATCTGGCACTATACTACTCTCCACACCCCGCCCATGGGGGAGGGCTGCTAGTGCCCTTCTGTATGCACTAACCCAGTAGGACTAGCCCAGACTTGGCATTGTATCCTGGCTGGGGTAGGGGTTTCAGCTTCTAGTTGACCTGTTCACCTGTCTCTGTGCTCCCTCGCACACCCACCCCAGAGGTCTCAGCAAATTACTGTCTGTGCCCTGACTGCAGCTTCTGTTTTCCCCCTCCAGGCCTAGCCACTTGGGGCTGCTCGTGTTCACTGTGGGGCGAACCTGGAAATATCTGCTGTCTTTCCCTGTCCTACTCTTGTTCAGCCTGAGGTTTTTAGGAGCAGTGCCTTGTCCTCTCTGTCTGTACCCAGATTGGTGCTTGAGTTTCCTACCTAGCTTCCCAGACCCCAGCTTCAGGTCAGCTTTAGCCTGCACTCTCTGGCAGAGACCAGATTTCTGCAGTCATGAACATGACCTTCCCTCTGTCACCCTGTGCAGTCACCATGGAATTCAGTACTCAGCATTAGGCACTTTCATCAGTCTCCGTTCTTCCCTTGTTTCTAGGCCATCAGATATTCCTGATACCTACTAGAAGATCCTCTTTATTTTAAAACAAACAAACAAGCAAACATCTTAAACCTTCCACAAATTTAGTGGGATAGGATTAGCTTGTCTATGGCAGCAAGAATGTACCTTTCTGATGCAAGATGGGGACATGGTTTATTTAGTTGCATTTGCTTTTTATTGAATCAATGAAATATTTCCTCTTATTATAGTAGGGGAAAAGTTATGACTGAATTTTGTTTTACTGTACCAGACCATAAATATATTATCTATATATATTTGAGTGTATCTTCCTGAATACACATATGTGAGTGCATGGGCAGTAGGCCAAATGACATGTAAATTTTTTTCTCCTACATTTTTGAAATCCTCATAAATCAGAGAGATTGTCCCTTTCTAAGACAAGAACAACAACCACCAACCAAAAAAAAAATACTTTAGACTCTGAAAGCAAGTAAGTGTGCACTGCACATGTTAGATCTAGTTTATGACAAAAGGCAGTAAGTAACCAGGATCCAGACAAGTGCTAGGTCATTAATTCCTTAGGCGAGCTAATATCTTCTGTTGCTTTTCTCATGTACCACCAACACCTCCTTTTTCCTCTGCTCTCCTACCATATTCCTTTATTTATAGTGGCAAAACTAAATAGTCTTTGTTTATTGTTTATCATATTTATTGTTGCTCTTAATTTTTATTTTGGAACTAGTAAGAAGGAACTTTCTCTTGGTGTACATGTGTTTTTTAAAATGCAAAGAACATTTACGGGTATATTATTATGGAGCATGATACAAACTCCTATAATAGTATATTGTGTAAGTAAAACGCTCAACATTATACTATAAAGGAAGATAAATGTAAAAAAATTAATTAATAAAGCAGTATCAATATCTATACCTTAAGTTGATTCTATAATGGAATCAGTAACTGAATATCTAGAAGAAATGACATTCAGTAGGAATATTGTCTGCTGAACATTTTTTCATTAGTAGTAGAAAGCAACAGATATTTTTCTTAGTAAGGGAAAAGCACATATTTAAAATATGTTAACATATCTAGCAAATCTTTCTCTTATAAGGCTTTAAGATATATTACTTTAAATACATAAATGATAAATTTTGGTGGCATTATTGAGATTTTATGTCTGTTTCTATTTGACTTCTTTTAGGAATTATTGGGTTATCGGTCATTGATGAAATTTTTACACATATCCATCTTATATTAAGGAAACTAGTGACATTTTAAATAATCCTCTTTCAATTAGTACACTAGGTACTGGAATAAGTGAATTTTAACAAAGTTTAATATACACTGGCTTTAACCCTTTTAATATTTTCTATACTTTTCAATATTGTTAGGTTATATATCTCTAAGTTTGAAAGAATTCTCTTGTTAGTGAGAGAAGTCATATATACCTTTTCACTATTTACAAACAGCATTCTATAAAAGTATAGTAGAGTACACCTAAATTTTTGATTGATCTCAGAGCTATTTGTTTAAATATAGTTTAGGGGTGCATATATATCAATTGGTGTTTTTGAAGTCAAGTGAAACATTCCACCAAGCTAATGTGCCTGAGAGTACCATATCAGGCACAGACAGGTACTAGAAATGATAAAACACAGATAACATTCAGCAAGATGATTTGCAGATGGGATGTATTATCTGCTGTCATGAGGTTAGATGGGTCATATTACGGTTTTTTTAAAAAGTTAATCTACGTTATTTCAGAATTATCAAGTTATGTGGGTACATGAGATTTAATGAGAACAGATTTTATTATAAAAACTTGCTAAAAAAACAAACAAATATCCATTGCTTTTTAGAGCAGAAAATGGACTCTCTCTGCATTTGCATTGCTTCTTGTTTAAGAAAGATAACTCTGCCCTATTATTTTTTTCCTAACAAGAAAAATAATATATTGAACATTTTATGTCTTTATCCTAACTCCACATTTTCTACTGATTATGCTCTATCAACATACTCAAGTAAAACAAAAACAAAAACAAACTGGCACTCTGGTATACTCTATGAAAAGCAGTTTTTATTAGCAGTAAGCACATTTTAAATGTATAGCATATCATTTTCGCTTGAGGTTCTTCAACTGTGATCTGAAAATAATTGTTTTGGTAAGAGTTATATCAGAAACTTTCATCATTTTCTTATTATATATTATTCATTTATAGGAAGAGTGTTTTTATTTTCCTTGTTCTGTGGAAGAGGGTAAAAGCT